CCCCCCCCCCCAAGTAACATGTGGGTACCGTGATGACAGTGCTCCAGGAAAGAGATGATAGTGGCCTGGACTACAGTATTAGGAAACGATATGGTCAGAAATTGTCAGATTCAAGAAATATTTTGAAAAGTAGAGGTGACAACTCCGGAATGGGTTAGATGTGAGATAAGAATGAGAGGAGCTAAAGATGACTAAAGAAGTTGGCTTGAGCAATTGGATGAAAGGAATCGACATTTTCCGGGATGTGAACTAGTTAGTGATTAGGGGCAGGTTGGGGTAGAAAGAGTGTTGGGGTAAAAATCAGAAGGCTTTTTAAAAAAATGTTAATTTGTATATTCTTGCTAGACTTTTAAGTGGAGATGCCCAGTAGGAAGGCAGATCTTTAGTTCAGGGGGCTATTTCCTGTTGAAAATGTACACTTGGAGGCTGTTAGGTTATAGAGGCTACATTTAAATCCATGGAACTGGAAGACTTCACCTAGGGACTCAGTGTTGGTTGTGAATAGGTAGAAGAGGTATGAAACTTGGAAAGGTGAGGAATAAATAGAGGGAAACTGAGAAGGAGTTAGGAAAACCAGGGGTGTGTCTTTGCATTGAAACTAAGAGACAAAAATTATTTCATTTTACAAGGAATTCTTACATATTAACATTGCAAATATTAGCTGCTTATAAATCACAGATATGTACCTGATTTGTTGTATTTTGATTTATGTTGTTTTAATTTCATGTATTTGTTGGGATAGATGTTTTACATTTTTATGTGGTCAGGTTTATTGGGTTTTGAAATTTGTAGTCTCAAGGTTTTTTTGATATTCCAACTTCAAAATGATAAATTTTTATATTTCATGATGTTTTATGTCTTTTTGTGTTTTTTTTTTTTTATCCTCACCTGAGGATATTTGTTCCATTGCTTTTCAGAGAGAGTGGAAAGGAGACAGAAATAGAGAAAGAAACATTCATGTGAGAGAGACACATCAATTGGTTGCCTCCTGCACCTGCCCTGACCAGGGCAGGGATAGAGCCCAGGACCCTTCAGTCCTAGGGCTGACACTCTAACCACTGAGCCAAACCGGCTAGGGCATTGTATTTCTTTAATTGGTAATATTAATATATTGATATAGAAAGGAAGATAGGGATTAAACTTAATGTTTTTCCAAGTGTTAGACTTTTGCAGCTTTAGGATTAGGAATTAAAGCCCATTAGATTATTGATGGGATGATAAAGCAACAATGACAATTCGAGGGCTCTTTTAAGATTGACCATATACTGAGGGATATGGCATATTCCATGAGATTCTTTTATCACTTGCTAAGGAAGTGGAGAAAAATGCTCTTCCATTGGCTTATTTTGTAAAATATAAAATTGAAAGAATTCTGGTCTTGAAGAAACAAGGCCAGAATTTTATTCCTGGCGTTATCCATTGTGATCATGGACAAGTCATCTATTAAATGGATTTTTTCTTTAGCTCACACGTCTTTTGTAAGGATGAACTAATAAAATGCTTGTGATGATACTTAAACCATAAGGTCAGGTACAAGTGTGGAGTACTGATTTTGGTATTTGGTAATGTGCTAAAATGTTTCCCAGTGACAGTATATAAAGCACCTGTTCTGAAAGGTGAATGGTAATTAACCAGGAAAAATAATCTATAAGATTTTGTATAAGCTATCGCTGTTGGGGCATTTAGATTAGTAATCTATCAGTAGACTGAATTCTGCCCTTCTGTTTTGTTTAATTGTTTCCTTTCTTTGTTTCAGCTGTTGATTGTTGGAGGTTCTTTTGGTCTTCGTGAGTTTTCACAAATCCGTTATGATGCTGTGAAGATTAAAGTAAGAACTGTAATTGGAGTTTGACATGTGTCTGTGTATATGTATGTTCCGGTTTAGGAGATGTGTATACTCAGCATACTAAGCAGTCTGAGTCTTGTCTAGCCTTTCAGGACTGATATATGATGATTGGGCTCTTTCTTACTCTTTATAACAACACTAATGATCACATGGAAATGAATCAGGAAATGTGAAGAGTTTAGTAATTTTTCTCCTATTCACTAGAAAATTTGCAATATTGTTAGCTTTTTTGCCACAACATGTGCTCTGATGTAGTTGGTTTTAGGATTTAGAAGGGACTAAAGAACATGGGACAACAATTTCACTCCGTTTTATTACTTCAGTTTTAAATTAGCTATTTCACATGAATACCAGTAATTTTATGAATTATATTGTAGTGCATCTTTAGTAACTTATAGTAAAAGAAAGAAAAATTATTTTTCATTATAAATAGTTATACTTATCTTTTTATAAGTATCCCTTTGTGGAAGACTGTACTGGTTCATATCTATATGGTTGTCTTTATTTTATAGGTGAGGACACTGAAGCCCAGAGAGCTTAAGTAACTTGCCTAAGGTCATATGACTACTGAGGGTAGAGCTAGTATTCCCACCCTCAGTGATTACCCAATTACTGTCAAATTCAAGTCAAGTGTTACACAAGAATTCTGGTTGATTGAGAAGTAGGTAGTTTTTGTGTGTGGCACACATCTGATATTTGTTTTTCTCCGAGTAATAGATAAATTTCGTTAGCAGACCTCAGTAACATGGGTGCTAAAGTAAAGAGTATCAAAGGCCTATTCAATTTGCTCAGTTAATTTTATGGTTTAAGAGAAACACCAACTCCAGCTAGTCTCAAAGACAATAGGTATTAGAATGAATATTACATTTTAAAAGAATATGGTACAATGGTTTCTATAAGGGAATAGGGCAATTATCAATTGAGTTAAAAGATCTGTTAGCATCCCAATTTTTGTTGTTGTTAATCCTCACCTGAGGATATTTTTTCCATTGCTTTTCAGAGAGACTGGAAGGGAGGGAGGGATGAAGGGAGAGAGAGAGAAGCATCGATATGAGAGAGACACGTGGATTGGTTACCTCCCACACCTGCCTCAACCAGGGCCAGGGAGTGAACCCGCAACGCAGGTACATGCCCTTGACTGGGAGTTGAACCCGAGACCCTTTGGTGTGTGGGCCAGTGCTCTAACCACTTGGGAACTCGGGCCAGGGCACATCCCAATTATTTTATTGAGGAATTCTTTTCCGTTTTGCTTTAAGATGAAAGTTGTAATAATCTGACCTTTGGAAGTAGGATAACACGTATATATTTGAAAAATAATTGAATAGTTGTCATATGTTTATCATGTATTAGATCCTACAGATAAAGATTTAAGAAACTGATTCTTACAAAGCTTATGGCATAATTGCAGCTGGAAGATATCTAAATGTGAACATGTACCCAAACATATAACAGTGCCCAGGAAAATGCTATATTAGAATTTTGCATAAAACATTACTAGAACTTCAAATAGAGGCATACAGATTAGACTTGGGAATGGGGTATTTGGAAGGTTTGCTAGAGGTGTCAACCTTTGAATTCAGGCTTTAAGAACGAGTAAGAGCTAAATGGGGGAAATGATTAATATTCTATAACAGAGGGAGTATTAAGTATATGGTCAGATTTTCATTTTAGAAATATCTCTTTGGCAACATAGTACAGGGTGGATGGTGTTTGGGGGAGCAAGATAGTAAGGAAGAGATTGTTTTAACTGGAGGCAAAGAGACCTATTCAGATGCTTTGACAGTAGTATAGATGAACAATAATGGAATCTGAAATAAAATGTGCAATGAAGATAGTGAGAAATAAATGGGTTCCAGAAAAAAGTTTAGCAGCAAACATAGTATTTGATGATTAATGTGATATACATAATATAAAAATATGAATAAATCTCCGATCACTTGATGTTTGGTTTTGAGGATTGGATAAATGGTGGTGGTAAGTTAAGGAGAGAGAATGAAGGAGATTGGGATAACGGGGGATCTAGAAGATGGGGTTAAAGTAAAGAGAACAAAATTAGGTAAAGTTGAGAGAAAGAGGTTGATTGAAGTCAAGAGAGTAAGGTTGAGAGGTATGGTTGGTCAAGGTCTGTGGAAGGAGGCTGAGAGGACAGTTCAGGTGAGAAGGATCAGAGAGCAGGACCTGAGATTTAGAAGACTAGGTTGTTTGATGTTGAGAAGTTAAACTGAGATAAAGTCGAGTCATTGAGTGAGGTTGTGCTCAAACAGGGTAGAGAGGATGAGGTGAACTAAATTTGAGAGGGACTAAGGATAAGATTGGTTGAGGTTGACAGGTGTTACAAGGTTTGAGAAGTTGAGATCAAGGGGGAGTCAAGAGAGCGAGATTGCTGAGGTTGAATTCAAGAGGGGGTCAAAAGTGGGGTTAAGAGGACAAATTTGATTGAGAAGAAGCAAGAGAGGATAAGTTGAGTTGAGAAGTTTTGACATGGGTAGAGAAAGGTGGCATTGATTCAGGGTAACCAACCATCTTAGTTTGCCTGGAACTATTCTGATTTTAGGACTGAAAGTCCAGCTTCCCAGGACACAAAATTTCCTGCTTTTCAGTCATGTGTGTAGAAGGTTGAAAAGGAAGTATAGAAACCATGAGACGACACAGGGATGTGATGCAAAGTATAAGGAACAGAGTTTTCTAGAATTTTAGAATACCCTGGCCCACCTAGCCATGAGATCCTAATAATATTGTAATAACTATATATAGTGACAGATGGTTACTGGACTTATTGTGGTGATCGATTTGTAAGGTATGTAAATGTTGAATCGCTATGTTGTAGAGCAGAAACTAGTATACTGTGTGTGNATTTGTAAGGTATGTAAATGTTGAATCGCTATGTTGTAGAGCAGAAACTAATATACTGTGTGTGTGAACTATAATTAAGAATACGTTTTTTTAATTGGAAAAGAAAAAATAGAAACCATGAAATGGGCTAAGAAAATAAACTGAAAGCAGTAGCTTTCAATTTCAGTATGAAATAGATATGACATAGTTTCTCTTCCTGCCTTAGTGGCCATTGCTCTTTTATCTCCTGATTCTTAATGCTGACAGCCATGGATTCACAATAATATATCATCCATTGTTGCTTCACGCCAAGTAATACGATATAAGTGTGCAGTTAAGTGTGTTGTAATCCTGAGCATTACCAGTTTTTTTTTTGGTGTGTGTGTGTGTTTTTGGCTTTGTCTGTTGTACTTTGCAAGGAATTAGTGCTGGTTTAATTTTTAACATTACAAGTACAGTGACCAGGTTTCCTAAGATTCAGATAATAGAAATGAGAAAAATTACAGTACCAATGCCAGTATGATCCAGACATCACCAAAAAAGAAAGCTAAATGATTGTTATTTTAATGACAGATGGAAGGACACGTACAGCTGGATTAGGGAGTTAAAGAACCAAAACAGAGCATACTACAAAATATGCAAAAAAGAACTTGAGTTTGGGAGAAGAGGAAGCTGGGAGAGCTATTATAAACAAAGAGTTGTTCCTGTTGGGCTTCATGATCAACATAGATCATGAGAGTTCCTCCCAACTTGATTTGAAATCAGGTTTCTTTTCATGAATTTTTACACTAGATTTGGGCCATACTTGCTGACCCCGTGATTCTTTCATTGCTATATGGTATTCCACTAAGTGTTACCATTTTTTATTTATCCATTTTACCATTGACAGACATTTGGGTTGATTCGCAGTTTGCCTACTGAAAGTAATGCTGTTCTGAACATTCTTGTCTATTTCTTTTGTTGCACAAGTACAACTAAAGGTTGTAGGGTATGTATGTAATTTCCAAAGTATTTTTCAGAGTGATTCATCAACTGTAGGGGAGGAGATATAATTTTCCCTTTACCCTGCTAGGTTCTTGGCTGAGATTCTGCCTGTAATAAAAGACAGGTTAACAAGAGAAAAACAAACAGAAGTTTAATAATATGTATACCTCCTATATACATGGGAGATACCCAGAAAAACTTAGTAAAACGCTCCCCCAAAATGTTCCAAGCTGTCTCCTTAAATACCATCTTCAGGTAAAGAAGGATGTTTGGGGAGTCGGGGCAATTATTCCAGGTTAATGTGTACATTTGAGGGGATGATGGCAATCTAAATTTGCTGGGCTCAAAATTCTGTATAGACCTATTAGAAAGAACGTAATTATTTTACTCATATCTTCAAAAGTCATACGTGTTTATAATTTACTTGATCTGTTACTTTCTCGGAAAGATATATTAAGCTCCTCTAATATGTTTTGTGTATTACTTATATTTTTATATATTTTGCTGTGTAAATTTCAAAGCGATGTAGTCATGTAATATTTTATAATTCTAACATCATCTTGAAAATTTGTTCCATTTATGAATATAAAATGTTCCTTTTTGATGCTGTTTTCCTTGAAACTTTTGTCCATTAAAAATATTGCTATGGAGAGATCCAAGATGGCAGCAGATTGAGTGGAAGCTACACTGAAGCTCTCCCAGGACCAAACTGGAATTTCAACTAAAATCCAGAAAAACCGCCCTGAATAACCAACTGCAACTGAAGACTAGCTGGGGAGCATCGTCATAATCAAGGATGAAAAGTGGAGACCACATAGAGACTGGTAGGAAGTGTGGAGGTGCGAGAGGGCTGGCCGGGCTCCCACAGGCAGCAGCTGAAGGTTCAGAGNGGCATAATCAAGGATGAAAAGTGGAGACCACATAGAGACTGGTAGGAAGTGTGGAGGTGCGAGAGGGCTGGCCGGGCTCCCACAGGCAGCAGCTGAAGGTTCAGAGGGATATCTCAGCTGTGGGGGGTTCCCACTGAGAACTCTGGGGCCTAACTCCAAACTGGGTTCCCAGCTCAGAGCACCAGGACTGAGAAAGGTACCCACATAACATCTGGCTATGAAAAGCAGCAGGGTTTCTGTGTGCCAGGGAGAGGTGGCTGGAAATGCAGGCATCCTCTTAAAGGGCCAACACACAAACTTTTGTGTGCAGCCACTCACCTTGGGNCTCCAAACTGGGTTCCCAGCCCAGAGCACCAGGACTGAGAAAGGTACCCACATAACATCTGGCTATGAAAAGCAGCAGGGTTTCTGTGTGCCAGGGAGAGGTGGCTGGAAATGCAGGCATCCTCTTAAAGGGCCAACACACAAACTTTTGTGTGCAGCCACTCACCTTGGGCTCTGGCAGAGGCAGAGTGGACTAGAGCAGTGTGAGGAGAATCCAGGGGGGCTGGTTGGGGGAGTAGAGCTCAGAGGGCAGCCATCTGGATTCCGGTGCTGAGTCATTCCCCCATAAGGCAGAGGACTTCTTTCTCAGGCAGAAATTTACCTTCCAAGCAGCTTCTGCCTGGGGGGGAAGCAGTTACCCCACCCTGTTGGAAAACCTCTGGCCCCACCCTGTGTAGTTTCTACAGCCTGAGGCTCATTAAGAANAGGAAGCAGTTGCCCCACCCTGTTGGAAAACCTCTGGCCCCACCCTGTGTAGTTTCTATAGCCTGAGGCTCATTAAGAAACTGAATAACAGCCTCTGGGTACTTTGGGTNGGGAAGCAGTTACCCCACCCTGCTGGAAAACCTCTGGCCCCACCCTGTGTAGTTTCTACAGCCTGAGGCTCATTAAGAAACTGAATAACAGCCTCTGGGTACTTTGGGTGTCTCCCTGATTTCCTTCTGGACCCAGGGCTTGGAAAAGCAGACCTTGGTACCCATCTTGGTCCTGTCCAAACACACTCATCCCCAGCAGAAGGAACAAGAAGCTGTGAAGTGTGGGAAACTTCAAGCAGGGTACTCAAGGCCAGTCACAAAGAGCATCTGACATTGGCCTACACCAGAGACCATCCCAAAGCCTGGGAGTCCTAGCAGATCTACCTAATCCATAGAAACAAATCCAAACAGGCAGCCAAAATGGGAAGACAAAATACAAGCCCTAAATGAAAGAATAAGTCTCCAGAAAAAGAGCCAAATGAAATGGAGATAAGCAATCTATCAGATACAGAGTTCAGAATACTGATCATAAAGATACTCAATTACATGAAAAAAGATATAGAAACTATGAAGGAAATTAAGAATGACATAGAAATAAAGAAAACATGAACATGGAAGGAATGAACAGCAGATTAGGGGAAGCTGAGGATTGAATCAGCAAATTAGAAGACGGTAGAAAGAATCACTCAATTAGAGAACCCAAAAGAAAAAACAATTAAAAAACAGGACTACAGTTTAAGGGAGCTGTGGGACAGCATTAAACGCAACAATATCTGCATCGTAGAAGTGCCAGAAGAGGTCAAAAGTAAGTAAGCAAGGGTTAGAGAACCTGTTTGAAGAAATAGTGGCAGAAAACTTCCCTAACCTGGTCAAGGAAAAAGTCACACAAGTTCAGCAGGCACAGAGAGTCCCAAGCAAGAAGAACCCAAAGAGGCCCAAGCCAACACACATCATAATTAAAATGCCAAAAATTCAGGACAAAGAGAGAATATTAAAGGGAGCAAGAGAAAAGCAATCTGTTACATACAAAGGAGCTCCCATAAGGCTGTCAGATGATTTCTCATCAGAAAGCCTACAGGCCAGAAGGGAATGGCATGAAGTATTGAAGGTAATGCAAAACAATGATCTGAATCCAAGACTGTTCTATCCAGCAAGGCTATCATTCAAAATAGATGGTGAAATAAAGAGCTTTCCAGACAAATAAAGGCTAAAGGAGTAGATCACCAGCAAACCAGCACTGCAGGAAATGTTAAAGGGACTGCTGTAATAAGAAGTTGGAATAGAGAGAATGAGAAACATAGGCCTAAAGAAATAAAATGGCAACAGATAAGTACCTATCAATAATAATCTTAAATATAAATGGGTTAAATGTCCTAATCAAAAGACATAGGATAGCTGAATGGATAAGAAAACAAGACCTAAATATGTGCTGTCTACAAGAGACCCACCTCGGAACAAAAGGCTCACAACAGGCTGGAAAAAAACCCAAAAAAACTTCTGGAGGACTTTAAAGGAGAGGTTGACAGCAGTACAGTCATAGTAGGGGACTTTAACACCCCACTGACTTCACTGGATAGATCTTCCAGGCAAAAAAATCAACAAGGAAACAGTGACTCTAAATGACACACTAGATTAGATGGATTTAATTGACATTTACAGAACATTCCACTTCAGAGCTGCAGAATAGGCATTCTCCTCAGTGCACATGGGACATCTCAAAGATAGACTACATGTTAGGACACGAAACAAGTCTCTACAAGTTCAAGAAGATTGAAATTATATCAAGCATCTTCTCGGACATTTACATAATGAAATACTATGCAGCCGTAAAAAAGAAGGATCCCTTACCCTTAGAGACAGCATGGTGAGACTTGGAGAATATCATGCTAAAGGAAATAAGCCAGTCGGAGAAGGACAAGTGTCACATGATCTTACTCATGTGAAATCTAATGAACAAAATAAACTGATGAATAAAGTAGATCCAGAGACATAGAAGCATGGAAGACTGAAGAATCTCAGAGGGAAGGCAGGGGTGGGTGGTGAGAGATTAACATTAGACTTTATGTGTATAACCCATGGACACAGACAGTAGTGGGGTTGAAGGCCTGGAGGGAGGGGTACAGGGTGGAAGGGGTCAATGGGGGAAAAAGGGGACATTTGTAATACTTACAACAATAAAGGTAAGTTAAAAAAAAATATTGGTATGTCCCTGGCTGGCGTTGCTCAGTGCTTAGAGCATCAACCTGTCCTTCAGAGGATCAAGGGTTTGATTCTTGTCAAGGGCAGGTACCTGAGTTGCAGTCCCCGCCACTGGTTGGGGTGCGTGTGGGAAGCATCCAGTCCATGTGTCTGTGTCACATCGTCATTTCTCGCTCTGTCCCCCTCCCACCTTCCCTTCCACTCTCTTTAAAATCAATGGAAAAAAATATCCTCACTCCTCAGGTGAGGATTAAAATANCCTCTGTCCCCCTCCCACCTTCCCTTCCACTCTCTCTAAAATCAATGGAAAAAAATATCCTCACTCCTCAGGTGAGGATTAAAATATATATAAGTGTATGTGTATATATAACTTATGTACAAAAGTATAAAAATATTTTATATATTTTATGTATATATAAACTATATATATAGCTATGTATTGAATATCCACCCCCACTAGTATTTTTTGTGTTGTATCATTTTTGTAACCTTCTGTCTTCAACCTTGTGCTTTTATTTTTTAAGTACATTTCTCATAAATAGTATAGTATATAGCTGGATTTCTAAAAATTTCAGTCAGAAAAATATTTAATAGATGAAATTGAATATTTACTGGAATTATTGATATGTTTATATGTATTTCTACCACTCAAAACAGCGATAGAGAAAACCTCAATCAAGTAGAAGCCAAGGAGGAAGAAATAAGAATATAGTAAAAGTAAAACTGAGGTTCAGAATAATCTCTCCATAATCAACATTGAAGAATAGTTTCATTTTATTTTAGCATTTAAAATTGAGGTTTTTTTTCTAATTCTCATCCCTTTGGTAAGTAATCTGTCTTTTCATCTTATTTTTCTTTTGAGATTTTCTTTTTATCCTTAATATTCTAAAGTTTTGCTATTACTTAAGATGGGCTTTTTTTGTTTTGTTGTGGGTATTTTTTATTGTGTTCTTTCAGTCTAAGGATTCATTTCTTTTTAATTACTGATTAATTATTTATTGCCCTTATTCCATTCTTTTCACTGTCTGTTTCTGAAACCCCTAATAGACATGTTGGAACTTTTGGATCTAGCTTTCATAATACACCTTTCATTCATCCCATCTCTTTGTGCATCATTCTAGTGAAATCCTCAGGTTGTATTTCTAGTGCACTAATTTGGTTGCTGTGTTCAGTCACTATTCAGCTATCCCATTTAATTTAATTTGGATTTTGTTGTTGTTGGTTTATTAATTTCAGCAATCACATTCTTCTTTCCTAAAGACTTTGCCATGCACAGGTAATACGGCACCACTGTGGAATCCTGTCTGATTTTTTCGTAGATACTTCTTTGTTTTCGGTACATGGAAGGTGTTCTTTTTTGTTTTCAAGAGCAGCATTCTATTTATTAGCATAACATTTTTGTGTAATAACATAATTTAGGGTGGCGGTTAATAGCATGCAGGCAGAGGGCCAAGGTTCAGAGCAAAGTTCTGCCTCTTTGACAAATTATTCAAACTCCCTGTGTCCTACTTTCCTTAGTTGTGATCATACTACTAATACTTACCTTAGGTTTTTATGAGGATAAAAGAGGTATTTATATGTCAAAATGCCTGGTACATAACAAGTCCTCAGTAAACATTAGCTGCTGTTAGTAGTAGTGGTGGTGGTAGTACTACATCAGTTATCATTATGCGATTCGATGGATGGATGGGTGATGGATGATGGAGATTTTGCCATGTGTTTGTCATCTACCATACCATCCTAGCCATCCCTTATATAACTTTAAATTGAAAATTAAATCCTACAGACTTAAATAATGTATAGGTCCTCTTTCTGTTTTACAGATTGATCCTGAGTTAGAAAAAAGACTGAAAATGAATAAAATGTCACTGGAATCAGAGTATGAGGTACAGTATGTTAATATAGTCTTTCTTTTGTAACAATCCTCCCTGTCAGTGACTGGTTCTGTCTGCCTTAAGGTAAACTTCAATGATTAACAGTGCAGAAAAAACATTTACCTTAACTATATGGTATTGGGACAACTACGTAGTCATTTGAAAAGAAAACAAAGATGGATGTATATTTCATATACTATAAATGAATAAGTTTTAGATGGATCAAGAATTTACAAATAAAAACCCAAAATGCTAAAAGTCCGAGGAGGAAAAAAATGAACATTCTTCTTTGTGGTCTCGTGTCAAAAAAGCCTATTTAAAATAATGTGATACCGCCCGACCAGGCGTGGCCCAGCCATTGAGCGTCGACCTGGGATCCAGGCGACTGGGGTTTGATTCCCGGTCAGGGCACATGCCTGATGTGTGGGCTCGATCAATGACTCTCTAATCATTGATGTTTCTGTCTCTCTCTCTCCCTCTCCTTTCCTCTCTCTGAAATCAATAAAGATATATTTTTAAAAAATAAATAAAATAAAATAAAATATAAAATAAAAAATAAAATAAATAAATAATAAAATAAAATAATAAAATAAAATAAAATAAAATAATGTGATACCAAACCCAGAAGCTTTAAAAGTAAAGATTGGTGAGTTCATAATTAAAAATTCAGAAGTTCAGCCTAAAAATAAAAAAAAAATGCATATAAAGTCAGTAGTTAAGTGAGGAATCCTAAAAATATTTATCTTTATTATGATGAATTCATTGAAATATGAAGAACATCTACAAATCAAAATGGAAAAGTTCAGCCATTCAGTTGGTCAGTAGGAACATGGGCGAAGCATTGTAAAGAGTTCAGAGGAAGGGAAATAAATATCTTTCTTAAACTTGAAGAGATGCTCAACTTATAATGGGAATGTTAGTTAAAATTATAATGAGGTGTCATTTCCTACCCATTTGATTAGCATAAATCAGAGAGTTTAATAAATTACACATTGTATCATAGAATGTGATGAGGGAGGACGATGTCTCTCTCTATTTTTTACCTATGAATTATACAGGGGTGGGCAAAAGTCGGTTGACAGCTGCAAGTACAGTGTACATGAAACAGTTTCTTCTATTATTATTTATTTATTATTGTATTTATTTGTATTATGTAAACCTACCCCTGTATTTTTCTGTTTCTTTGTGTGTTTGGTCATTTTTTATTGAAAGGTGGACATTGTGAATAATACATTGAAGAGATTTGAACTTTTAGCAGGCAGTTCAATTATTGGCTGATTATTTTGAACTTGGTTTTGTGCTTTATAAGGGAGGAACTGTGGAAAGGCTTTGGTGCTTCCTAAACCCCGTTTTGTAGGTCTCATTGTTCAAATTGTCTCCCCAAAGGATCTTGTCAGAGCTTACTTAGTTTTAAGCTTTGTTGGATGAGTCTTAAGTAGGTCTTTCTCTTGACATCATTCTTATTCCTAAAGAGCAGCTTTTTGGTGTCTCAGCTGGCTGTGAAGGAAGCAACTAGGTATTAAGTCCACTGTGACAACTGCTGAAAATCCAGTACTGACACTGCTTTTCCTCAGCACTTCTTGACTCTGTTCCACAATCAGTTCTATAGCAGTTGGCTGTTAACTAGTGAGCCTTAGGTGGTCTCGCCCACCTAGGGCTCATACAGCCTAGTCTTCAACGACTGCATGTTTTGCAGAATTCTACAGAGAATCTTTTATTCACCAAAGATCTCTGAAGACTGGAGCACTTTTACATGAAGTTGTTCTGCCAACTTTGTATCCCATCCAATAATTATTCTTAAATTCTCTTGAGCATGTGTGTCTTATGTTATCTGGGTGAAGGCTATTATTCTTTTTTTAAAACCTTTTTATAATTTTGGATGATTTCATAACTATACTTGAAAATAATTTACTTTTTTCTTGCACATTAAATTAATAAAATTTTGTTCATATATATTCAATATAAACTCCTGGTAAAACTATAAGTGAATTTAGAGAAATGATTTCATTCACTACTTCCCCATTATTTTGTTCAAACCTATAACTTGCTACTTCTCAATATATGAGTACTGTGTCAGTAGTGATGCTGTGGAGGGTTTGTCTCAGTGGATTTTAGTTCTTTTAGAAACCGTAGAGTTTGGTACCTGAAGAAACCACGTAGACCATTTGTTCCAGCCTTTTTATTATTACTTATGAGGGAATTAGTGCCCAGATGGCTTCAGTTACTCGCCCAAGGTTATACAGCTCATTAGTAAAAGAGTAAAGCTCAGTATCCAAGTGTCAAGGTAAACTTCTTTTATTCCCTGTCTTTGGATATAAGGTATCCTGTGTTCTCTGAGCCTCTTTTTCTATTTAATTCACTCAGTTAGTCTAGAACAGTGAAAGCAGATGAATGGAAGTTACTGTTGGAAGGGTGAAGAAACACTCATGTTTTTCCCTTTTATCCTACCTTTATTCTTATGCCTGGGAGACATTTCACACTGACGGAAGGTACAGTGATCCAACTGTAGCTAAGTAGTTTTTATTACCCGAATGGGCTTTGCTCATGGCAGCTCTGGGGGATGTCTTTTCATTCTTGAGCCCATGCTCACTTCTCAGGTGCAGGACAAATCATCTTAGTCTGTTTTTGTCCTTCTAGCAGCCTTCGGGGTCTCCACCTTTGTTCTTTTCCTCTCACTTACTACTGTCACTCCTGCTAATGCATGCTGGTCATTATTCTGCTGGGTCAGCCTTTGGAGTTGGACTTCTGTTTTCCTAGCTTCTTCCCTTTCTCTGTGCTCTCAAAAACAAGGCATGTACATTTTTAAAATTTTATTTTAATCGTTTTATTGTGATAGGGAAAAAGATGGGCATTTACATCGATAGCAAGCAAGAAAAATTCCTAATCCTAAGAAATATGTCACTTCAGTTGTTATGCTTGATATGCAGTGATTTATTTACTAAAATTATAAGTGAGGGCCGTTTGGATTCTTTTCACTTGCTCATTGATGTCCTAATGAAAGCCACAGGACCCCTACACTAATATATATACTTTAATTTTTGTGGCTCTATAGAAAATAAAGGATTCTGCTTTTGATGACTGGAAGAATATTCGAGGACCCAGGCCTTGGGAAGATCCTGATCTCCTCCAAGGACGAAGTCCAGAAATCTTAAAGACTAAGACAGCTTGACTATGCTGATTTTTTTTTTAATGTTACCAGCTGAATTTGCACTACGTACTCCTATCTGGTGGAAAGAAAATTCCAGATCTGCAGAAGCCTGGATGTGAGTAATTTGGTGACAGATAGTCATGATTAAAAGATCAGGTACAGGTTTTTTGCTTCCCAACTCTGCCATTTGCAAATGAAAGTAACAGATGTTGACCACATATGTTTTGTAACACGCAATAAAAATGTGAACACTGCTGCTTAACAACTGTCTTTTTTCCCGCTCTCAAATACACAGCCATGCTCCTTTTCCCCCAGCCACCAGGGCAGCATTTTGACACTTCAGCCTGATTCCTAATGAGAATAGTGTCTGGATCCAAATTCTCATAGGAACACCAAGCAGAGATGTTGTATCAACCTACATAGATAATACTGAGCACAGTCTGATAAGAATCTTGTCTTTACTTATAGTACCTCACATGGTATGCTAATCAGTTTCCAAAGCATCACTTAATGATTGTATTGATACCATTAATATGGTTAAGACAATGATACTTTCCTGGTTAAAACAAAAGTCGTGGAATATTACATATTATATGCAGAAATGGCAAATTTATTCAGGTAATCCACAGATGACTATAGTTTGGGAAACACTGATTGAAGGTATGCTTTATGCCTTGACATGCAAATTAACTAGTTTATTTTTTAGCTTGGCATGTGCTGTGATTTATTTTATTTATTTTATTTTTTATTGATTTAAGAGAGAAAGAGGAAGGGGAGGAGAGAGAAAGAGAGAGAAACATTAATTTGTTGTTCCACTTACCCAATGGTTGCTTCTGGTATGTGTCCTGAACGGGGATTGAACCCGCAACCTTGGTGTATTGGGACAACGCTCTAACCAACTGAGCTACCCGGCCAGGGCCAGCATTTGCTGTGATCTAAACGGTAGGCAAAAGGGTAGAATTGAGGAAAGTTAGTTTTTTTTACTCAGTTTCTTCTTTTCAGCCTTGTTTCCCTACGTTAATTGCCAAAACAATTTATAAATCCACCCACCTCTTCCGCAATCAAAATCCCTATTTTTGCCCTGGCTAGTGTTGCTCAGTGGTTCGAGTGTCAGCCCGTGTGTCAAAGGGTCTTGGGTTCGATTACTGGTCAAGTGCAGGTATCTGGGTTGCAGGTTGATCCCCAGCCCTGATCGGGGCACATGCAGGAGGCAACCAGTCAATGTGTTTCTCTCACATCAGTGTTTTTCTTTCTCTCTGTCTTCCGCTCACTCCCTCCCTTTCACTCTCTCTAAAAAGCAATGGAAAAAATATCCTCGGGTGAGGATTAGCAACAACAAAATAATAAATAATACCTATTTTCAGTGGGTCAGTGTTAGCAAAAAGCAAAGCAAGCTGATTATCTAGTGGTGATAATTTGTGATAGAGCTGACTCATAAGACTTAGTTATCTGAGGGGGCAATTGGTTTTCATAGGCAAAAACAAAACAAAATAAAACCTCTACTTAAGCTTCACTCCTTATATAGGATCTAACTCCAAATGGATCAGATTTAAATGTAAAAAACATAAAACTTTTAGGAAAAAACAAAGTTTTTGGGACCTAGTATATAGTTCTTACCAAAAAATTCATAAAAGAAAAACATGATAGATTGGACACTTCATCAAATTTAAAACTTCTGATTTCCAAAGACCCTTTTGGAAGGATGAAAAGCCAGTCCCCAGACAGAAAATATTGTAAGCCACATAAGACACACATCTAGAATATATAAAGAACTCTGAAAACTAAACAGTTAAAAAAAGCAAACAATCCAATTAGAAAACGGGCAAAAGACAAAGAGACATTTTCCTGAAGAGGATATATGAATGGCAAACTCATGAAAAGAATGTTTGACATCACTGGCCATTAGAGAAATACAAATTTGTTTACATTGATAAATCATTACACATCTGTTAGAACAGCTAAAATTTTAAAAATTGACAATACCAAATGCTGACAAGGATGTAGAAAACTAGATCTCTTACATTGCTGGCAGGATAAATGGTACAATCAGTCTAGAAAATGTTTTGGCCGTTTCTTGAAAAACAAAATAGATTTCTGGTTTCCAGTTCAACATTGTAGAAACCTTGGAAGTCTTAACTGCCATCCTAACATAGAAAAAAGCTGAAAAACTGAAAATCCATGACTTCTTGAGTACGTGAGAGAACTAAGGTCACAAGACAAAACCACTACCCTGAGCACTTGAGGCAAATACAGAAAATCACACTTTCCCTGGAGGGGAAACCACCACTGGGAATAATTTAAAGGGTAATTGACTAATTACTAGAGACTGAGCATGACTAACTTGCAGTTAAAAAAGAGACCAGGCTGGGGGCATATTTTGTGTTTTACTTCCTGGAGCCCACCAGGTTCTCACAGTGAATATCAGAGAAAAATATCCTTGTGTTTCCAGCAGGGAAGGGGAAAGTAATCATTCAGAAATATGCCCCCCCCCCCTTCTGTTCTCTTTTACAAAAGCCTCACCTCAAAGGAAACTTATTTTGCTAGAGCCAAATCACACTGGGTTTTACCAGAGCCTAACCAAATAGGGCAAGGGAAACACCCAACTCCAGCCTTCCTTTCTCACCTAAATGGGAGTGGCGGGAGGAAGACTGAGAAGCAGTTGTGAAGGTCCATCCCAGGGGCCCATGATCACTAAAAGACTGGGACTTAATCATAAGATTATAGAATGTTACCCTCCCCCTACACATTACTGCCACATCATTAAAGGCCTATTCACTGGAGCTTCTTTTACCCAGTCCAGCTGGGTATCATGTCCAACTCAACAACAAAAACTACAAGGCATACTAAAAGAAAAAGCACAGTTTGAAAGTAAGCAAGCATTAGAATCAGATTCATATATGGCAGGGATGTTGGAATTATTAGACTGAGAATTTAAAATCTGATGAATATGCTTAGAGTGCTAATGGAAAAAGTACACAACATGCAAGAACAGATGGGTAACGTAAGCAGAGAGATGGAATTTTAAGAATCAAAAGGAAATTCTAGAAATCAAAAATGAACAGAAATGAANTGGGGCAAGGGAAACACCCAACTCCAGGCCCCTCTAGCCTTCCTTTCTCACCTAAATGGGAGTGGCGGGAGGAAGACTGAGAAGCAGTTGTGAAGGTCCATCCCAGGGGCCCATGATCACTAAAAGACTGGGACTTAATCATAAGATTATAGAATGTTACCCTCCCCCTACACATTACTGCCACATCATTAAAGGCCTATTCACTGGAGCTTCTTTTACCCAGTCCAGCTGGGTATCATGTCCAACTCAACAACAAAAACTACAAGGCATACTAAAAGAAAAAGCACAGTTTGAAAGTAAGCAAGCATTAGAATCAGATTCATATATGGCAGGGATGTTGGAATTATTAGACTGAGAATTTAAAATCTGATGAATATGCTTAGAGTGCTAATGGAAAAAGTACACAACATGCAAGAACAGATGGGTAACGTAAGCAGAGAGATGGAATTTTAAGAATCAAAAGGAAATTCTAGAAATCAAAAATGAACAGAAATGAAGAATGCCTTTGGTGGGGTCATCCATAGAGTAGACATGACTGAAGAAAGAAAAGGGAAGGGAGGAAGGAGGGGAAATAAGGGAGAAGGAGGGAGCAGTAGATATTTAATTTCAGGCAAAGCAGACTTCAGAGCAAGGAAAACTGTCAGGGATAAAGAGGGATAAAGGAGTCAGTTCTCCAGGTAGATAGGACAGTATTTAACGTACTTGCACCTGATGACAGCTGCAATATACCTGAAGCAATAAAACCAGAAGTTGTTTTTAAAAAGATAGACAAAATTGGCAAGGCTTTAGTTTTACCAAGANACGTACTAAAAGAAAAAGCACAGTTTGAAAGTAGGCAAGCATTAGAATCAGATTCATATATGGCAGGGATGTTGGAATTATCAGACTGAGAATTTAAAATCTGATGAATATGCTTAGAGCGCTAATGGAAAAAGTACACAACATGCAAGAACAGATGGGTAATGTAAGCAGAGAGATGGAAGTTTTAAGAATCAAAAGGAAATTCTAGAAATCAAAAATGAACAGAAATGAAGAATGCCTTTGGTGGGGTCATCCACAGAGTAGACATGACTGAAGAAAGAAAAGGGAAGGGAGGAAGGAGGGGAAATAAGGGAGGAGGAGGGAGCAGTAAATATTTAATTTCAGGCAAAGCAGACTTCAGAGCAAGGAAAACTGTCAGGGATAAAGAGGGATAAAGGAGTCAGTTCTCCAGGTAGATAGGACAGTATTTAACGTACTTGCACCTGATGACAGCTGCAATATACCTGAAGCAATAAAACCAAAAGTTTTTTGTTTTTAAAAAGATAGACAAAATTGGCAAGGCTTTAGTTTTACCAAGATAAAAAAATGAAAGAAGACTCAAATTATTAAATCAGGAATGAAAAAGGGACACTACTAGCAACCCTAGAGAAATAAAGAACTATAAGGGAATGCTATGAACAATTATATGCCAATAACTTAGATAATTTAGATTATCTAAGTTATGTCCTATCATTGTCTTTGAAAGACACAAACTACCAAAACTGACTTAAGAAGGAATGTAAATCTGAAAAGACCTATAACAAGTAGAGAATTGAATTAGTATTTAAAAACCCACAAGAAAAGGCCGGACCCAGAGGGCTTCATTGGTGAATTCTACCAAATATTCAAAAGAAGAATTAATACCATTTTTTCACAAACTTTTTCCAAAAAATAGAAGAGAATGAATCACTTCCGAGCTCATTCTGTGCGGCTAGTATTATCCTAACACAAAAACATCACGAGGTAGACATCATAAAGTTACCAACACCTCTTAAGAATGCAGATACAAAAATCCTCAACAAAATACTTGCAAATCAAATGCAGTAATGTTTTGAAAGGATTATACATCATGATCAAGTGAGACTTACCTCAGGAATGCAAGATTGATTTAACATTCAAAAATTATGTAATACCCTATATCAGAATTGAGGACAAAAAAGAAACTATATGATCGTAATCCAGACGCAGAAAAATTTGACCTCTCTTCATGATAAATACATTCAATAAACTAGGAGTAGAAAGAAACGTCATCAACCTGATTAAAGGCATCTACAGAACAAAAACAACTCACAGCTAACATCAAACTTAATAAGCAAAGAATGAGTGTTTGCCTCTAAGAAAGGAGAAGACAAGAATGTCTGCTCTCATCACTGCTNAAACAAAAACAACTC